AAAAACACTTACAATTGGGATTGTCAGGACAAGGATTAATCCCAGCTCCCCAGCCCCATGGCTGCTGGCCCTGGTGGCTTTTGTGACACCAGCATCTCTTGGAGAGGTCATTCCTACACCTACAGAAGAATCTCCTGGCAAAAGGATTTTCCTGCTGAAAACCACCCACAAACAAATTCCCCATTGTTTATGGGAAAAGGATTGTTCTGGGGAAAAGTCCCTCCACCAGGAATGCCAGCGAGAAAAGCTTCAAAGTTGTCACAGAATCCCTTTTAGGATTTTTTTTCCCCTCCACATCAAAACTTTGATATCATCCGTGAAATAATTACAAAAACGGGTGAAAAAATCTCAGAAAACATCCAAGATCAAAATCAAAGACGCCATCAAATTAACGGAGTGAATTCCTGTTAATTCCCTAATGCCTGGGACGTTCACGGCTTGTTTTCTGGGAGGGTGGGAATGGTGAGAATTCCTTCAGTTGAGTCAGGACATTGCCTCGCGCAAGGACAAATCCCTGGAATTTCCACGGGCTGACCACTGGCTCATCCCCGGCTCTGCTCAGCCTGGGATTAACCTGTTCACAGCTCATCCCTCTGGAAGCCTGAGCTGGGATCTGCATCCCAAACACCCAAACACCGCCGTGACCCGGCCAAAACCCCGCTCAACTCCCGGGATCTGCCAAGAAACCGGAGCCGGGAGCGGCTCAGGGGCTCAGCTCAGGGCTTTATGAGCTGTCAACGTGTCAAAGTTCCCGTTATCCCGACAGCTGCGAGCCCAGCCGGGCTCCAGCCCTGCCAGGAGGGGCGGGCACTGCCGGGGCTTCCCAAGGGAGGAGGGCATGGAATGGGAGTCCTGGGAATGGGGGAGAGGGAGCAGAGATCGGAGAGTTCAGCACTCAGGGCAGTTCAGCGCTCAGCAATTCAGCACTCGGGGGAGTTCAGCACTCAGGATTTCAGCACTCAGGGATTTCAGCACTCTCTGGAACTCGCCTTCCACTGAGCTGAATTTCCAAGGCAGTTCAGCACTCGCCGTGGTGGGGAAACCAAGAGAGGAGCAAACAGACATGGGCAAATCCCCTTGGATTTGGGCACAGAGGAATAGGAATAGGAATAGGAATAGGAATAGGAATAGGAATAGGAATAGGAATAGGAATAGGAATAGGAATAGGGATGAGGAGGATGGGCAGGTGTTGGTGAGGCCATTCATAGAACCATGGAATGAATCATGGAATGGATCATGGAATGGATCATGGAATGAATCATGGAATGAATCCCAGGGTGGTTTGGGTTGGAGGGACCTCAGAGCCCACCCAGTGCCACCCCTGCCATGGGCAGGGACCCCTCCTGCTATCCCAGGCTGTTCCCAGCCCCATCCAGCCTGGCCTTGGACATTCCCAGGGATCCAGGAGCAGCCACAGCTGCTCTGGGCATGCTGTGCCAGGGAGGAATTCCTCCCAGATATCCCATCTAAACCATCCCTCTGCTAGTTCAGAGCCATCCCCCCTTGTCCTGTCTCTCCAAACCTCATGAACACCCCCAGACCCCCTGCTTTGAGCTGGCCCTGCTGCTTTAGAGCCATTTTTAACCCAAAACTCAACTCTTGGCTTAAAAACTCAGTCAAGACAGAAGAGAGTCCCCGAGGTGGGGGAAGATTCTCTGCTGGATGTGTCCATGTGGATTTACATGTGTGGAGCTACTTTACAAATTTTTTTTTTTTCACCAGATCTTGACTGAGCAATGTGTGCAGATCCCGAAGATCTGCCCTGATATCCAGGAAATCTGCCAGGGGCCGGCAGCCTCCCAAGTGGTGGGAAGAAGCTGCTCATGCCAGGCTGCTGGAATGAGCAAGGCAGCAGGAATGTGTCTCATGGAGCAGCTGCTGCACAGCCCTGGCAGGAGCCTCTCCACGAGGGCCTGGGAGCAGGGAGGGATTGGGACATCCCAGCTTGGGACGAGGGAAAAGTTATTTTTTATTATTTAATTATTTAATTAATTTTTTTTCCCTTGTCCTTTCTCCATCCTTTCTCCCGGATCCTTAGAAAAAGTCTGTGCTCTCCCTGGCATTTTGGGGCTCTTCTTTTCCTCCTCAGCATCCCCTCATCCTCTGCTCTCCCTCGAAATTCCATTTTTTCCCCATTATTCACCACAGGAACATCCATTTTCCATCCCCTGCTCGACAGCTTGTGCCCACCTACACCAGGGAGAGCGATTAGGGCAAAATATGCAAAACAAAACTGGGGGAATTCACACATTCCAAGCCCGGGTGGCTTCGTTCCCTTAATGAGCGACTTTCCCAGGCTCCAAACACCCCTGATCCTGCACGGCCACCAAACCAACACTTCTGGACTCCCTGGGCCAAGATCAAAGCCAGACCAGCCTCGGTTTTGCTGGATTTCCTTTTCCAGTGTCCACAGCCAAGTCTAGAGGAGGTGACAGCTGCAGGAAAATCCAGGAATTCCCAGGAGGGAGGTGAGAGCTCCGGGAAAATCCAGGATTTCCCAGGAGGGACGTGACAGCTCCTGTCACAATGCTGGGACAATTCTTTGGGAAAAATCCTTAACCAGGAGTGGGGGACACCTCCATTCCCAAATATCAGAGGGGAAAACCCCAAACTCTGGCAGTTCTGGCTCCTGGGTGAACACATTCCTATGCCAACACCCACAGGCAAACCCAGCCTTTGGAAAAGCTCATCCCAGGAGCGTTTCTCGGGCAGGACAGAGCCTGGAGAGCCTTTCCCTGCTCCCGCAGTGATTCCTGCTGGGATCATGGACTGTGGGGGTCTCCATTTCCCCGCTGCAGTCCCCAGTCCCTCCCCCTTCCCAGCTTTTCCCGAGGAATTCCATTATCCCGGGGATCCCGGTGCTGTTTGCACACGCTGCTGACCCAGCCTTTATGTGGGACACATAAGGGGCTCTGTGTGCAGCTCCCACCAGGGCCATTAATCGTGTCCATGTCAGAATTCCCGGCTCCAAACCCTCCCTTCCCGCTCCTCCCCTCTCCTGCCCTCCTTCCCCCCCAGCCTCTCTTGTGCTCTCCGGAGATCCAAGAAAAAAAAAAAAAAACAAAACAAACAATCAAAACTTGTCTGAAAATTCACACAGGGAACTTGCAAACTTTGCAAAATCTGATCTGCTGCTCCCCGGGGCGAGGCTGGGAAATGTGGGATTGCTCCAGGCGGGAAGAAACACACGCTGCACCCTCGGAGGGATCGCCTCCAAGGGAAAATGCCAAAGTTTGGCTCCCGGTCCCAATGGGGATGCAAACCCTGCAGCTGGTACTGATACAAATCCAGGACTGGTACAAATCCAGGACTGGTACAAATCCAGGACTGGTACAAATCCAGGACTGATATAAATCCAGAGGGCCTCTCTGAATCCGTGGGAATGTGGATGGGCTGGACCCATGGAACCCGAGAGCAGAGCTGGGCTTAACCTCGCTCCCACCTTGGAGCAGCCTCACTCATTCCCAGCTCCTCTCCAAGGGCAGATCCTCACGGTCTCTGCTCTCCCCTCCATGGGTGGGACACCATCCCGGGGTTACACAGCTCCTGGTGGTTTTCCTGCACTCGCTCCAGGGTTTTAGAACAATAATTAACTTTCAAACGCTGCTGAGTCCAATTTCCAAGGGGAAGAACCTTTTGTTTCCCAACCACAATCTGAGAAGAAAATGGGGCCAAGAAGCCCTTGGGGCTGCCATGGGGGGAGTTCCAGGGACAGCTGAACACCCCATTGGCTGTACCTGTCAGAAATCCTAATTAATCACCCTAATTAGATTGTAGGAATGCCATGGCTGGCTGTGTCCATGCTCACATGGAAGCTTCCAACAAAGATCTGACTTTAATGTAATTACTTAAACCCCAGTGCAAAGTTTGTCTCTGTTAGGAGGAGGCAGTGAAGGAGCAGCCACGTTCTGGGTGGGGAGAGCAGGGTTAGGCTGGGCTGAGCTGGGTTAGGCCAGGGAGAGGAGGGTTAGGCTGGGCTGAGCTGGGTTAGGCTAGGGAGAGTGGGGTTAGGCTGAGATGAGCAGGGTTAGGCCAAGGAGAGCAGGGTTAGGCTGAGTTGAGCAGGGTTAGGCCAGAGAGAGCAAGGTTAGGCTGAGCTGAGCAGGGTTAGGCCAGGGAGAGCGGGGTTAGGCTGGGCTGAGCTGGGTTAGGCCAGGGAGAGCGGGGTTAGGCTGGGCTGAGCTGGGTTAGGCCAGGGAGAGCAGGGTTAGGCTGGGCTATGCAAGGTTAGGTGGGGGAACAGAAGGTTAAGCTGGGGTGCACAAGGTTAGGCCAGGGTGCACAGGATTAGGCCAGGGTGCACAGGGTTATGTCAAGGAGCATGGGGTTAAGCCGGGGTGTTTAGGGTTAGGCAGGGGAGCCTGGAGTTAGGCCAGCATGTGCAGGATTAGCTAGGCTGTCCAGAGCTAGTCTGGGGTGCACAGGGTTTGTCCAGGGAGAGCAGGGTTAGGCTGGGCTGCATGGGATTAGGCTAGGATGCACAGGGTTAGGCTGGGCTGCACAGGATTACATTGGGGAGCATGGGGTTAAGCCGGGGTGTGCAGGGTTAGGCTGGGAAGCCTGGGGTTAGGCTGGCATGTGGGGGATTAGGCTGAGCTGTGCAGCGTTAGTCTGGGGTGCACAGGGTTAGGCCAAGGAGAGTGGGGTTAGGCTGGGCTGTGCAGGGTTACACTGGGGAGCATGGGGTTAAGCCAGGATGTGCAGGGTTAGGCTGGGGAGCCTGGGGTTAGGCCAGGCAGTGTGGGGTTGGGCTGGGCTGCACAGGGACAGACTGGGCTGTGCAGGGTTAGGCTGGGGTGCACAGGATTAGGCTGGGGAGCGCAGGGTTAGGCTGGGCAGTGTGGGGTTGGGCTGGGGAGCGCAGGGTTAGGCTGGGTTGTGCAGGGTTAAGCTGGGGAGCGCAGGGTTAGGCCGGGCAGTGTGGGGTTGGGCTGGGGTGCACAGGATTAGGCCGGGCAGTGTGACATTAGGCCGGGCTGAGTGGTTAGGCCGGGCCTTACCTGCACGCGGGCCTCGGTGAGCTTGGTGCGCTGGGCCAGCTCCTCGCGGGTGTAGATGTCGGGGTAGTGCGTCCTCTCGAACGCCTTCTCCAGCTCCTCCAGCTGCTCCGCCGTGAACGTGGTGCGGCTGCGGCGCTGCTTCCGCTTCAGAGGCAGGTCCGGCTCCGACTCCACGTCCGAGCCCTCGTCCAGGCGGTTCCCTGGGGACAGGAGAATCGGGACATCAGCAGGAGGGTTCAGTCCCACGGGAAAAAATATTGGGAGGGTTAAAGAGCCCGGCAAAATCAGCAAAGTAACGCTGGAATTGTGAATATTCCGGTTTGGGGTGGAGAGGACTCGAAGCTCATGCGGTGGCACCTCCCAGGGCGCTGCCAGGGATCCACAGCTTCTCTGGGAATCCATTCCACCCTCCCAGGCAGGAATTTCTTCCCAATATCCAAGGAAAGGAGCCCCTCAAGTCCCGGCTTTTCCCGCAGCCATGGGAATCCTGGAATTCCGAACTGGTTTGGGCCGGGAAAGTTCTTATAGCTCATCCCATTCCATCCCTGCCATGGGCACAGACACCTCCCACCGTTCCAGGGCACTGCCAGGGATCCACAGCTTCTCTGGGAATCCATTCCACCCTCCCAGGGAGGAATTTCTTCCCAATATCCAAGAAAAGGAGCCCCTCAAGTCTCAGCTTATCTCCACAGCCTGGAATCCTGGAATCCCAGACTGGTTTGAGTTGGGAGAGATCTTAAAGCTCATCCCAATCCACCCCTGCCATGGGCAGGGACACCTTCCACTGTCCCAGGGTGCTCCAAGCCCTGTCCAGCCTGGCCTGGGACACTTCCAGGGATCCAGAGGAATCCCCATTTTCCTCACAAGGGAAAGTTTTGTCTGTGGACAAAACGTCCACTGCTTTTACTCTATTTATGGCATTTCCTACCATTATTTTCCCCACATTGCAAAGAAAACCTTGGAAAATGAAAACTTCTCACAGGAGAACAGGAGCTCATAGTCCCTGAATCAAATTGTCACAGAGAAAAGAACTTCCAAGGCTTGGCTTATTTCAAGGAATTTCCATTTTTCATCAGAAATTCCTCTTTCAGAGTTGCCCATTTTGTCCTGCCAAAGGCAGGAACTGAAATGTTGTCCACAAATGATACTTTGACTCATGCTGCCCAATTTTCTCCTGTGTTTTCTCAAGTTTTGGGGTTGAAGATTCCAGTTTTTAAAACTTAGGAAGGAAAAAAAAAAAAAAAAAAAGGAACAATTGGAAATTTTTACAGATGGGAAAACCCTTTCCAGCCTGGCTTCAGCTAGAGGCTGGGCGCAGGACACAGCTCAGCTCTTCACCTCCCAAATTTCCCACGGAATTCAGGCGCCATCCAGTCCTTTCCCAATGTTTAATCAGTCACTCATTCCTCCACCTCGACTTTCCCTGCACTTTCCCCTTTCCCTTCTCCCTGCCTTGATCCCAGCACCAGGCGTGGCCTCCTGGGGCTCTCCTGCACCCAGCTGGAATAAATAAGCCCAGCTTTGCTCCGTGTTTTTGGCTGGAGATCAAGCAGAAGGCCCCACATGGACATTCCAGGTCCTCAGCAGCTTTTGGAGGAGCTGGAACTCCAACGTTGTCTCTCCTGGAGCAATCCCAGGCTCCAGAGATGTTCCTTGGGGGGATTATGGGATGCTGATGTTGGTTTTGGAGGGGCCACAAAATGTGCCCCCAGCCCAGGGCAGCAGAGAAGGGACAATGGGACACGGGAAACCTTGGAGCTGGGGACAGCTCCGGCCCTGCCACCTTTTCCTTCTTTCCCAAGAAATCAGGGGATTCACTGCATTAATTGATTTTTTTCCCTTCCCAAGCCTGGCTGTTGTTTTCCACAAGAACCACCCAGCCTCGCTGAGAGCCAGAACCAAATCGTGCTCACAGCAAAGTCCTTTTTCTTTTGGGTGAACCTTTGCTAATTTAGGATTAAAGCAGGGTTTACGTAAGCTCAGCTTGACCATAAAGCTCCCTGAAGTCTCTAACCGTGTTTTCCAGCCTATTTTTCCCCCCTCTTTTTTGTTCAGCTCCTATATTATCATCACCCAAAAATCTGCTTTTCTTCTTGGCAGCGCTGGGAGCTGCAGCTGTGGCTCCCAACAGCTGCTGGGGGGTTTGAGGGGTGGGAGGCGCCGATCCCCCCGGAGCCGCCTCGTTTGTACCCAGATCACCACAAAAAGCCTCTGCATTCCAAACAAAATTCCTTTTATGGCCCGGGGCTTGTGGGGAGGACGCAGTGTGGGACCTTGGAGAGGTGCTGGAGCCAGGGCAGCTCTGCTCCAGGGGTTGTTTTTTTGGGGAAAATCATCCCTTGGAGAGGTTTTCCCTCCTTCAGGCTCTGGCATCCCGTTAAATGCTTTAAACACGTTCAGCTTTTAGATCCAAACCCTTTGATTTCTGAATTTGTCCCCCCGAATCAGTGAGAAATTCCTTGCTGGCTTCAGAGGGGCAGCAATTGCCCCACATTTAAAAAAAAACCCTAAAAAATTTCAGAGTTCTCCCACACACAGTCAGAATTTATTTCAAGCAGAGATTTTTTGGATTTGTCCACTTCCAAGGGTCTCCAGGAGAAGGAACATCTGTGCTTGAGAGCAGCAGGGCTGCACATCTGGGCCCCAGATGATGCGGGGCAGGTAGGAGCCTGCACATCTGGGCCTTGGAGGAGCAAAGGCACATCTGGAAAGCTCCAGAGAATTCCCTGGAGCTCCTCACTGGAGCTGCTCCATCATGGATGGGCTCGGCTGCTCCTCCCATCCCACTCCTGGGATCCAGACATTCCCAGGTGCAGGGACAGGATCTGCACCAGATTTTCACCTGGGACGGGAAAACCCCCACATTTTCTTCCCCAGCTCCTGCTAAAGGATCCCTGATTTGTCCATGGAGTTTTGGGAGAGGACGAGGGACTGTCACCCTGTGTCCTCACTGCGGTGCTGATTCCAGGGTGAGATAATCAACACCAATTCCAGGACAAACCTCTCCATTCCCAAGCTGCCCCACAGCTCCAGCCAGGCTTTATCCCCATTTTCCAGCCGTGCAGGAGTCACCACCCATCCGCAGTGACCCCGGGGGCTGGGAAGGGCTGGGAAGGGCTGGAAAGGGCTGGGAACAGCAGCCACAGCTCCCAGTGCCAAGTGCCCGGCTCCAAGAGCCCGACCTCAAAGCTGGAACCGAGGGAGCAGAAAACTCCCAGGGAATGCCTGGGACCAGCTGCTCCCAGCCAGAGCAGCTGCTGCTGTCAGGCAGGGCCGTGGGGAAGGACAGGGAATGTTTTCCAGCTGGGATGGCCTCTCTGACACATCCACACACCCCACGAGCAGCTCCCTCACCTGCTGCTCTCACAGCCCCACAGGTCGTTCCCATTCCCAACCAAGCTGGAATATCCCAGACAATCCATTCCCAAATTCTCCCCAAAGCTCTTTGTGCTTGATTTTCTGAAGCTGTGGAGAATCCCAGGCTGGGGATTCATCCCAAACTGAAACCCTTCATTTTTTCCAGCCCATCCCTACATGAACAACAACTGCCAGCAGCAGGAGCACAGGGGAAACCAAATTTCCAGGGATTTTTGCGACAGGAATGGCTTAGTGATATTTTACCCTTTGGTCTGCAAAGGGGAAGGTGCAGAAATTTCCAGCAGCACCTTCCTGGGTGGGAAGGATGAAGGATGGGAAGCAGCAGGCTGGCAGCAGGCAGCTCCCCCGGGATCTCATCCTGGGAAAGATTGACGGGAAAAGCAGAGCCAGGAATGAACAGAGGGGAAAACCTCCCAGCAGGACAAAGCAAAGAACAGGGAAAACTAAAAAGAACAGGGAAAACTGAAGAGAAAAGGAAAAACCAGGAGAAAAGGGAAAGCCAGGAGAGAAGGAAAACCAGGAGAGGAGGGGGAAACCTCCCAGCAGGACAAGGCAGAGAACAGGGAAAGCTGAAGAGAAAAAGGAAAACCAGGAGAAAAGGGAAAACCAGGAGGGAAGTGTGTGGGTTACAGGACTCACAATCATCCCAGTGTATTTGGGTTTTTTTAGGAGCAATTCCATTGCTTTTTCATCTTTGTTTCAGAGTAACTGCTCTGCAGCTCAGAATGAAAAGCTCAGACTGCCCAAATCTCTTTGCTTTTAGAAAGAAATCCTAATTTCAGGAATAAAAAGGCAGAGCTTTATCCTGGGAGTGGTAGCAAGGACGCAGTGTGGAAATTCTTCCCACTGCTCCGAGAAAGATTTCCCAATGTCTGGGCAATTTTTGGGAGCCAGGGGTGAAGTGACCCCATGGAGGGATCTGCTGAGGGATTGTGTGGAGCAGTGCTGAGTTCAGGAAGAGCTGGGAAAAGGGAACAAACCCCCCTGGAGTGGTGGGAGCAGTGCAGGGAAAGATGACAAAGGGAAGCCTGGCCTTGTCCCGGGGCTCATTCCAGCCTGAGGAAGTGTGGGAATTACAGCCCCAAACTCCCAATCCTGAGCAAAGCTGCTGGTTCAGGCTGGGGAACAACGAGCAAGAGCCCTTTGGAGGGGTTTGGAAGGAGCAGGGGACCAGGAAAAGCCGTGTGGGACCCGGGCCTGGCTGTGTCCCCTGTCCCCATTCCCTTCTGCTCCTCCTCCCTCCCCTCCAGCCTGGGCTCCCCTTGGCCCTGCAGTTAAATTAAATGGGGATGGGGGAATGGGGATGGGGAATGGGGCTGGGGAATGAGGAATGGAGATGGGGATGGGGAATGGGGAAATGGGGAATGGGGATGGGGGGATGGGGCTGGGGAATGGGGTTGGGGGGATGGGGGGCTGGGGAAATGGGGCAGAGGGATTGGGGCTGCAGAACATCCCAGCTCCCAGCACAACGCTGTCTGTCCCTGTCCCTTCCTGCTGCCCCATCCTAAACATCAACTGGGAGAGGTGGGGAGGGAGCAGGACTGGGGAGGGAGAAGGAATGGGGAAAGAGTGGGATTGAGAATGGGATTGGGGAGGGAATGGGATTGGAGTGGAAATGGGACTGGGGAGAGAGTTGGATTCAGAATGGGATTGGGAACAGAGCGGGACTGGGGATGGAGTGGGATGGAGAATGGGATTAGAGAGGGAATGGGATTAGGAGTGAGATTGGGGAAGGAGTAGGACTGGGGAGGGGATGGGATTGAGGATGGAGTGGGATTAAGAATGGGATTGGGAAGGGAATGGGATTGGGGACAGGGTGAGA